CTCCTGCTTATGAGTAGGTGCTCCCTTCCTAGGAAATTTACTAGTGACTTATACAAGATAACTAAAAGCAGAAGTACTACTGCTCCCAGTATAGATTTCTACCAGAAATATATGTAGTCACACCAATATATATATAATGCAAGCTTTATATAGATCAAACAGATAATGTTACATACGATACAAACACGAACATTCAGGAATGACAAATAAAATGATCATATGTCCTATAAGAATGGTGCACCTATACCATTTACCCGACGTGACCCCGTCTTTTATATTTTACCAAAAAATTGGGTAATAATAAATGTTTTATCATTTAATATAGGGGAAACTGTTTTTTTTTTTACATTTCGGTGATTTTTCCTTAATATAGTAAAAAAATAAAAACCCCAGTGGTGAATAAATACCACCAAAAGAAAGCTCTATCTGTCCCCAAAAAAGGGTATAAAATTCATTTCAGTACAGCGCTGCATGACGGAATAAATGTCAGTCAAAGTACCGCAGCGCTGAATACTGAAAAATGGCCTGGATGGGAAGGGGGTTTAACACCGCGGATGTCAACTGGTTAATGTAAACAAAACCACAGAAAGTGTATAAAAGAACAGTTCCCTACACTTGTAAAGCCAGAAGGGTTACTCTAAGCCAGCTATTCTGTACACACAGCTATATGCTTCAGTCTTCTCTTCCTACCTTTGTTGTTCCCCTCTGGCCCTCTATGCTATGGGCATAGATGGAGGGGTGTGTACATGGATAGAGAACTGGCTAAAGGAACGGGTACAGAGAGTATCAATAAATGGCGCCCTCTCAGACTGGGCTAGTGTCATTAGCGGTGTGCCTCAGGGTTCTGTGCTGGGACCGATGCTTTTCAGCCTGTTTATTAACGACATCGGGGACGGATTACACAGCGATATCTCAGTGTTTGCTGACGATACCAAAATTGGGAGGGTTATAGAAACAAACCAAGATAGTATAACATTACAAGAGGACCTGGATAGAATAGGGGAGTGGGCAACTTTATGGCAGATGAGGTTTAATGTTGATAAATGCAAGGTTATGCACTTTGGGTTAAAAAACAAGCAAATGGGTTATACAATAATGGGTATGCTGCTAGGGAAGTCTGAAATGGAGAAAGATTTGGGGGTCACTGTAGACCATAAACTCAATAATAGATTACAATGCCAGGTTGCGGTAAGCAAAGCTAGTAGAGTCCTGTCCTGCATCAAGAAGGGAATATTTTGCAGGGATAAGTCTACAATTTTGCCACTCTATACATCACTGGTTCGGCCCCACCTGGAGTATGCGGTGCAGTTTTGGGCACCGGTACACAGAGGGGATGTCCTTGAACTGGAGAAAGTCCAGCGAAGGGCGACCAAACTCATCAAAGGGATGGAGGACAAGAGCTATGAGACATGGTTACTAAATTTAAATATGTTCACGCTGGAACTAAGGAGATTAAGGGGGGACATGATTTTCATGTACATAACGGTAATATACAGGGGTACAAGTACTCCTAATAACGAGATGACTCAGGGATCTATACACACACACACAATTGGTTGGACTTGATGGACATGTGTCTTTATTCAACCTCAAATGCTATGTAACTATGTAACTCTAGGAGCCTATAAATTGAAAACAGGGATACATTCCTATGCTATTAAGGAAATATACTTGGGACTTGCACATCCGCAATTAAGAAATCCGACCTTTCCCTTACAATGATATCCAAATCATGTTTGGATAACAGGACATACTAAGTCACTGATCTCCCCAAACCTGACCCCAAATTTGTATTATTGTGGCTTATATGACTAGGTGGTAGCTAGGTAATAGCATTATACATTACACCCACGGTTTGTGTTTTTGACATGTACCACCCACAGGTACTCACATTGATTTTATCTTTTGTTTTTTTACACATACCACCCACACACTAAGAGCAGCTAAATTCCTCATGTGTTACACTATAGCCCATATTTCATATTAGTCCAAATATACAGAATGCACTTGCTCACATTAGGACTAATACCAGATATGGACAGTGATGTCACAATCACACAGAGATACCCCCCCAGAGTCCCTTAAAATTTAAACTGTGCTGCTTCTGGGATCCCCCTCATTGCTCTACCCCTAGATTGAGTAGTGTGGAGAGGGGGACCATGGCCCTCCTCTTGGTACCTGCTAAAGAAAGATATACCCCCATAGCACACGTACGGACACTGATGGTACCTGAAACGTAAATATTAGTAACATTAGTAAACAATTTTCTAAATGGTGTGGCGCTTTTACTCATTTACATTTCTCAACCCCCATCACCATTGAACTGTTTGGGGGTACTCATGGGGGGAAGGAAAGTGGCTCTTAAACCCCCCCCCATGCTGAAGAGCCCATTGGCCATTAACATTAGGAACCAGTACAGTACAGTACAGCCCACTTGTTTTGGAGGTACCAACACACATACCTGGTGTGCTGGGCTGGTTAGCTCTGGGAGCTGGCAGATCATGTTTTTTTTACATATTAATAAAAAATGACAACTAGCCCCCATAGTGCTAATATTTTTGTATAAACCTTGTTCAGTGCTATGGAGAGTTCCCAAAAGCAAGTTTGCATGCAGACTTAAAATCTATATGACAGCTCAATGCACTTCTAACATTTGACAACTGTTATGGCAATCTAATTAGCAGATTAGTATGTGGACCTTAACTGAGTTTCTTATGAACCTTGAATCAATAAATCAGGCCCATTGAGTTTCTAACCTGGGACAAGTACAGGTTACATAACCTGAAGTCAGAACTCAGAATCTGCATACTTGTTCTAGATCAAAGCCTCAGAAATCTTTAAACCCTCAGAAATCTTTAAACCATTGGAACAGCATGATAGTCAGGGAAGCAGAATTTTCAGATATAGAGGTTAGTGATGGAACCTCCATATCCTCTCACTACAATTTTTCTTTATATTAAAAGACAACAAAATCAATAAATTCCACTACTGCAATGGGAATAACAGCATGAATTTTAAAAGTGAAGGTAATTTATGCAGTATCTAAGTTTGTTCTACAGTGCAATTGTAATGAAGTTTCTGCAAGAATGTCAGTATTATAGCTCAGAGGAAGTCAAAATGAAAGAAACGTATGCATTCATTTTTAGCTTGTTGTTTTCACACTTGTCATTGGAAACTTCTCACTTAGAGGTGATGTTTGCTGGGAGGATGTTTCACCTTTACTCAAAATTATCTTTAATGATTCAAGAAACAGGAAATCTAAAAGTTGTTACAGTACAATAAAACAAAATGCCCAACATATCATTTAGACTTTAGTATACATCACATACACTTGATTTCTGTGTCCAGCACTGTCAGAAACTTGTGTGGTCCATCACAAAAAACAAAACAGGTGCATATTCACAAACTGCACTTAGCCAACTTGTAAGACAACATTTTTAAGCATGTAAAAGCATTTAATGATGTCTTTTCTATGCATTTGCTATACTATTATTTGTCATAATTCCCAACTGTCCCTCTTTTGGAATCCCTCTATCTCTCTTCTCTCCATATTGTCTATCTTATACATGCAATGTAGAGACTTGTATAAAAATATCATCACGTTAAACCACCCAGCAGTTTGGACTCCAGTGGTGTGTTGTTTGCGCACGTGTTCCTGGGCCTGCACATTTGCTGCATCCCACTCTACTAGCTGGCTTTTGAAGTTTATATTATTTTGCTATTGGTGTGTGCAAGGCATACAGTATAAGAAGTCAGGGACTCAGCGTGCCAGGTTCCACCTATAATGAGGTATCAATTTTGGGTGCATTCTTCTTTTAGCTCATAAAATGTTTATACTTTATGCCCTACATCTAAATATCTGCATAATTTCAAATGCTAGCAGAAAAGAAAGTAGGTTTGAAAAAGCATCAGTGTTTAAGTAAATGAACTGTTGTAGTGTTTTTTATTGCTGATGTTGACCACCAGGCATCATTATAATGCACAAAGAGTTTGTCTTTTACTCTTTGGGGTCTAGTTCTAAAAAAACAATTTGCATTCATCCTGTGCGAATTAACCAGACTGATGTGGCAATATCAAATGTTCTTAAGTATTTTCTCTTCTGTTTGAATTATATTTTTTTCTCACTGGAAATTATTACGGTATGCCATTTTTATCATTTACATCAATAGCAAGCAGTTCTACTGTCACATTTGTAACAACCTCTGTCAATCAAGCAAACAGCAGCTGTAAGACTTAGGCTGGCCATAATCCTGTCAATTTTTCTAGTTCAATCTGCGGGCTGAACGAAAAAACTTTATTTGATTCCTCCATCAGCACAAACAACGTGTCGATCGAGGAATCGCTGCTGTTTGCATTGTATTCTGACAGGTGCCGCCGACACCTGTCAGAATACCCGATCACAGCGGGTAGCTCATTGGCTGCCGGCTCTGATTGCATGAAGATTTTCCAGCCGGCTCCTTTGATCAGCTGATCGAGGAATGCCGGTTGAAGGGGAGCCGACAGCCCCACACACTGTGCAAATTTCAGCCAGTACATTAAAAAGTGGCCTAAATTCGGCAAGTTTATGGGCATATTTAATGTAATGTGTTACAGTTACACTACAGTTACAGCCTCATTAAAGCAGAACTCCAGTAAAAATCAGTTTGTAATAATCTTCTGGGTTTCAAATAGTTACATCTCAGGAGCTATATTTCACCTCCTGGATCATTGTCTGTTCCTTAGAAAGATACACAGGACCACTGCTGTGTATGAAAGTCTGCTGTTGGATCACTTCCCGGCATCAGTAAAGTTTTAATTTATACGGAACAGACAACAGTCTAAGGGACAGCATACACCTCCTGAGATTTAACTATTTGTAGGAACTATTTGCATGTGCTTGACCAAGGGAAATTTGCCCCTTTGCCTTTTTTGCCAGGCATCCAATGGACACAACAAATGAACTATGACGAGAGGCCTGCGTTTTGTAAATGTGCCATATATAGATATTAATTACTACTTACACTCTGCATTCAGCTGCTGTCAATACCCATCCAGGTTTAATTAAAGTTCCCCCACAAAAAGTTTTTCCTGGGGTTCTCACGAGGGCCATGTATGGCCTTAGTCCAGCTTCCTTTCCACCCACAATTTTCAAAGACACACCTATAATTCAAAAGATTAAATTACTACACATTTCTGCATATCGAATTTATGAGACTAAATGGCCAAAAACCTATATGGGCTTAATGGACAGTCCATTCCAAAAGCAAGTCTGCCAAGAAGGATCCTCCTCCTCCTCCTCCTCCTCCTGTTTATATTAGCAGTCTACAAACAGATACTTCTAGATAATTGCTGATTTTTTTATTCTTTGCATACCTTATTTTTCTTTTCTTCCCCAGTCTTCTCACAGTGGCAATTTTTACTAAGCTCAGATGAATCCATCTCCCTTTACTTCCTGGAACTCTGGCACATGTGATTAGGACATGTGACCATGCACATTATCTCAGAGGAGGAAAATGCCTTTCCTTGATATATTTCATGAGATTAGAGAGGAGATTTCCCAGCAATGCACTGCTGATGTAACCTTCCCAGGATGCAATGCTTTGGCACATTACATAATTTGTGCCAGAAGTGGACCAGGTAGTAGATGAACTCTATTTGTAAGTAAAATGAAAATATGTTTCTATAACTAATGAATGCAAGACAATTTAATATTAGCATCCAGAGCTGCCGCTAATGTGATTTTTAGTGAAAGGGGGTAAAGGTCCACTTTAAGTAGAGCTAAAGTAAGTGATCAAGTTAAGGTGTCCATACACTGCAAATCCCGCGATCGTACGAGAATCGTGCAGTGTATGGAAGGCGTGCGGCCGTTTCTACTGTACGGGCGCACGTCTTCCGTCGAACCAGCAGGCTAGAAAACCCGCCGGGAATCGTACGATTCTCTGCGAGTTAGTGGCCTGCTGGTTCACCAACTGCCGAACGGGCCGGTGTGCGTACGCGCACACAGCCCGTTTGCAGTCATCGTAAGCCTGCCTTCATTGCGGTCGTCGTAAGCCCGCCCCTCAGGGGGGCGGGCTTGCGATGATCGCAAGTACGATCTGCCTGTCCAAGATGGGCAGATCGTACGTTTTTTTAAGTACTTTACAACCCTCGCAAGACAAAAGTCTTGCGAGGGTTGTAAAGTGTATGGGCACCTTTACTCTACACCAAGCTCATCAAATCAAGTCTTTCAGAGCTCGCTTTGTGCACAGGTGCAAAGTCATGCTGAACCTAAAATGGGCCTCTCCCAATCTCTTGCCACAAGCTTTTAAGCACATCATTGTTGTTTATTGCATTTATGCATTTATGTATGCATTTATGTTAAAAACATGCATTTATGTTAAAAATAATCTAAATACGCATATAAGGGATGATATCACGTCAAACAGTAGGGAAGACGTGGAATCCTTATGGCTAGAACTGGATACCAGGGACGATAGTCGTAAACTTATTGTGGGTATTTGTTACAAACCTCCTAGTATTGGGGAGGAGGGGGAGGCCCATCTTCAGTCCGAAATTGGAATTGCGGGGAGGGAGGGCAATGTAGTCGTGATGGGCGACTTCAATAACCCGGATATTAATTGGGCTAATGGAACCTCAAGTTCAAGCAAGGAGGGTCGATTTTTGAACATGTTGAGAGACAACTTTATGGACCAGATGGTGGAGGTCCCAACTAGAAAAAATGCCATCCTAGATTTAATCATTACTAATAATGCGGAGTTAATTGAGGATATTGTTGTTGCGGAGACTCTGGGCAATAGTGACCACAACGCGATCACTTTCAGTATTGATTATAGGAAAAGCAAGAGGGCTGGTAGGACAAAAACCCTCAATTTCAGAAGGGCCAACTTTGATAGACTGCACCACCTAGTGGGGGACATCAAATGGGAAAAAAATTTTCAAAATCTAAACACGGACCAAAAGTGGGAATGTTTTAAAAACACGTTACATATTGCAATTGCCAAATGTATACCATTGGTTAATAAAAGTAAAAGATCAAAAACAAAACCTGTATGGCTGAATAAAACTGTAAAGCATCACATAAAGGAAAAGCGAATGGATTTCATAAAATATAAGATAGAGGGGACGGCATTGGCGTTCCACAACTATAAAGAAAGCAATAAAAGATGCAAACTAGAAATACGGACGGCTAAAATAGAGTGCGAAAACATGTTGCCATAGATAGTAAAAAAATATATATATTTTTTACCAATATATAAACAGTAAAAAGGTAAGAAAGGAGCAGATAGGCCCAATTAAGGACGATAGAGGGAATTTAGTCACAAATGACAAGACGCATACAAATTAATTCAATGCAGTGCTCTAAAAAGGATGTAAATACACGTAAACTGAAGTGCATTTAATGAGTGTCAAGCATTGTGTTGTAATCATGTGCATTTTTTTATGAATTGCATTGAGGTGCAGGCTTTTTCACAGCAGGTGCTAAACTACATTATTACTAAATTTCCTTGATGTGCATTACAGCATGCTATGACACATTGGGGTTGATTTACTAACCTTATAAACATGCCACGAACAAGTATACACCTCTGTAGTGTGTTCCCTCCCAGCATGATCTATTGGTGGAATCTAGACACCTTTGTAGTGTGTACACACCCAGCAGGTTGTGCATGAATTGCAAGGTGATGTTGTGTAAATTAGCTCTATGTTGTGTTGCTTGCGTTGATGAATGCAGGAATGTAAATGCATGAGCTAACCATTTTTGTCTAAACTGTGAAGCAGCATTATATATGCATCATGTGCATGATTTTTCCATATATGGCATTAGTGGAAATATGCTTTTAGAGACTTTTTGGTTGATAAATACGTTTTGCTGTGTGAAAATCACACGCACCTGGTGCGTGCGTGTGTTTAGGTTAGTAAATCACCCACATTGTATCACATTGTGCTGTGTTTGAATGCAGCATGTTCAATTTTTACAAATGCACACCAACGCATTCGTGTAATGAGCCCTTTGTTAACAACGGATTTCAGTTTCTTATTGCATGGATCGTGTGGTGTATGGAAGAATTGATTGATACACCCTTGCTATGATAGTAATAGTAGCATATGCTATATACGGTGTGAGTAGGCGGAGTGCATGACTCATTTTGGGTAAGAATTGCAGCCTAATTTGACCATAGGATGCCATCTGGGAAGTAGGAAATGTGTACATTTACCCATTGTCTACTGTATGCTGTAATGATGCAGTGTTTTGCATCAGCCTGCTACAGTAAAGAGGGCAGTAATCAACAGGAAGCAATGGGGGTCAGCATTGATGACTGCAGCACATACAGTATACAAAATATGTTTTAGTTATTTAAATGATAGCCATGCATACTGAATAGATATACCCAATGAGCTGACATCTCCAGCTCCATTCCTAGCCCAGACATCAATCCTAAATTTTGGAGCTTTTACACTTGACTGATCATGCTCAGGAGAGTAATGGTTCATTGAGGATTTCTGTTCTGATCTAAAGGTGATAATACACATCAGGGTGAAGTCATCTCCAGGCAGTCAAGAAAACAGGGGTTCACCAAATAGGTCACGATTTAAACAGCCATGTTTACAAATAATAAAAGATTACATTCCTATGAATGTTTGAATATTATAAAATACGTACCATTTCCAGTTTGCAGAGTAACTGCAACAATCAGTAGATGACAAATGGCATTCATGTCTGCTCAGTCTGCGATGCTTGTGATGATCTGAGAGTATACTGTTGGGGGTATGCATTTATTCTGTAGGTGCTTAAGATTGTTTTATGTGGTTTCGGTTCAGGGCTATCAGTTCACAAACTACTTTCACAGCCTTCTTTCATGTTTGGTTTTCTCATACACTAAACTTTTGCATGTAGCATTTTAAAGGTATATTCATGTTTGCTATAAAAAGGTGGTAACATGCAAAGGGAAGCTTTCATAGAAATAGTGGTGGAGCAAAAAGGGAACCTGTATATTAAAATCTGCCATGAGATTTTGTGTGTTAAAAATTGGGAAACTTTAAGAAGTGATCTAACATATTAGAAATAGTTTAAACAACTTCAGCAAATGTTGAATACAGCACTGGAAAAAAACATAACTTTTTATTCTTTAGCCCAAATTACCAGTCTAATCCACCCAGATGGCAATTGTATCAGGGGAATGATCATTTCCCAGAAAGAGCATGTAAACATGTTTATACAATACTAATATCATATGTTAGACCAGATAATATACTATATTAAGTCCATCTACTAGCTTGCAGAGGGGAGGACAACGGGGG